AACAGGATGTAGCTGGCGCTGCATTTGTTCCTACTTCCAAGTTCTCTCTTGCCCCTCCATTCCATACTCTCATTGGTATGATTTCTAAGTTTTGGGAGGCAGGTACTTGCCTTTATTTATGTTACTCAAGATGTGCCATGAACATTAACGGCTATCTATAAGCAAAGAATAATATTTATCACATAATTATCAAAAAACCCTTCACTCAGAAACAGCTCAGATTTTACAGTAAGGCATCACCCAGACCGACTTGAACCCCTTTCATATTATTCTGGTCTTATACAGAGCATTGGTAACTGGGCTTCTTGCTCACCTGAAAGATATCGTTGGCACACTTACGGCAGAGGTTGTGTTGGCAGGGCAGGATGACCACTGGTTTGGTGAACATCTCCAAACAGATGGGGCAGATAAGCTGCTTCTCCAGGCTGTCCATGCTCTGTGAAGTCCCCAGCATCGGCTTGAAGCCCACGGCAAAGTTCATCCCCGCAGCACCAATACTTGCCCACAGCACACTCCAATGGGCTTGACGGATGACCCCCTCAGCTTCCCCTATGTCCCAATGCCTGCCTCGCCAATCTCTGCTCGCTCTGCCTTGCTCTGCCTGCCTGTTCCAGCTCCCCTGCCTTGGCAGTGCTGGCCGCTCTCCCCTTCTTCTTCCTAGCTTTTACAGCTTGGCCTCTACCAGTTTTATTTCCACTTGGGGAATTTTCCTCTACCCACCAAGCTTGCTCTTCTCCTAGTTTGCCTGTCCAGATCTTGACTTCTTTCTGACACTGTCCCCTGTCCTGAGCCTACAAGGCTATTCTTAGTAGGTCACATGACCCCAATGGAATCCCAGCTGCCATTTTTGCCTCAGTAAAGGGTGCAGGGCGAAGCAACAGCTGTCAACGGGATCAGGTGACACTTAGTCACTATTCCACAACAAGGCAGTGACATCTTCGGAAGGTGGCTGGCAGATTGGGGGGAAGCAACTAGTGGCATTCTCCTGTGCTAAGGGAGGGCTATATCCAAAACAGTAAGGTTCAAGTATTGCTGGGGGAAAAAATTAAATCTTTTCACATACTGAATAAAAATAAAGATCTTCCACTACAATAAAACTAGATGTTATTTAACTGACTGGAACCAGATAATTCCATTTGTAAACACCTACTAAGGAATAAAATAATTATCTTATCTGCATCTCTTCAGATAGGCTCCATAAAATACTACAAAATGAACTTGCAATGATGAAAGCAAGGAATGCTATGAATATCTGAGTGATTGCTCAGTCTCCTTTTTTTGCAAGTACAATTAAGCTGTTGGCTCCTGGTTTGATTGTACTTGACACAATAAGCAGCAAACTCTTCTCAACATTTAAAATGAATCATCAAAATATTCAATGGAAAGAATAAACATATAAAGTTACAATAGAGTTAGAGGTAACCTCCATAAATACTCTGCAAAAAAAAAAAAAAGTCTTACAACTTTGACATTGAAAGCAATCTGCAGCCATTAGCCAAGGAGACGTAAAAAGCCACTGCTTTGAATCTTAGAGGTGAATCACACCAGCCAGTCTTAACGACATAAATATCTAAACCAGCCTCAGAGATCCTGGAGCCTTCCAAACAGGATTTCTGGCAGTTGAAACCCACATCTGGATGTTTCCCAACTGGGGTGGGAGAGAGAAGGCTGATAAAAATAATTGGGATCTTTGGAGTGAAGAAACAGAAATTGATATTGTGCGCTGTTGCTCGTTAAAATGGGTACTATGTGGTTTGGGAGGAAAGTATTCTCTGCTAAATACATAATAGCTTTAAGCCTCTTTATTTGAACAAACTTTTTACTGGGGAGACCAATTGGAAAATTGATTAGAAATTCAGGCCACATATTACTAGTTATATTTTCCAATGTTTTTCTGTTACTAACTGGCTTAAATGTAAGCTGACTTCAATTGTATAACAGGATGGATGGATGGATGGATGGATGGATGGATGGATGGATGGAGTATATATTTGACTAGTTAAGCTTAGTGTAGTTTTATTTTTGTATGGGTTCTTTCTTCTTTCTGCAGATAAAATAATTTTAAAAAATCATGGACATCCATAGAAACATTGTTAACTGCCTTAGGTTGACACAGATCATTTCCATCCATTCTGGCCTTTTCTGATGGGTCACAGTTCTCCAGGATTTCAGGCAGATGGTTTTCCAGCCCTGCTGCCTATGATCCTCTCTTTTTTGCCTATGAAAATGCCAAAAGATGAATTTGGGAGCTTCTGCAGGCAAAGTACAGCAGTACCTTGGATCACGAATGCTTCTGTTCACGACCAATTCGGGTCATGAACAGCACCGTTCGCAAAATTTTG